CTCACACACAAACAGGCAGTGAGCCTGTCAACACAAACACACAATCCAGTGATGTGGTAGGATATAAAAACCCAAAAGCCACGACTGCCAGCAAACCAAACAGCCACCAACTCTATCCTTCTCCTGCAAAATATTGGAACAAGAAAATGAGTATCTTTCTCCATCTGCCCACCATTCCTGATTCTGATGTTGAAGAACAGGAACACAGCTGAAAGGTAGAATCAGCGGTTTCTCGGTCACCTTCTGTTTTCACGCCTTTCATTTCATCTGTTAAGATCTCAAATAGCCCAAACACTTAAATGATTGATTTTAGAATGATGGAGAGAAAAACTAAAGCAAGATCTTTGCCTCAGATACACAGGTAGAACACAGCACACACACACAGGAGCTGTGTTTGGTTTGAGCCGTTGCAGTGTGTGTAGGCTGGTCAGACCAGAACTGATGGAGAGGAAATAACATGTGTAAGGTTGCCTACCCAAGCCTCTGAAGCTGACTTGGCTAGCATGCTAACAGCAGCAGCAGCAGCAGTAAATATCAAATGCTGTGACTCCCTGTCCTCACACTCACTGCTGCCACGCAGCTTGTCACACTCTGTGATATAAACAGTCCACACTTTCTGACGGTCAGTTTAGTCCCACCCTCTGTAAGACTGGCTGGACATTGGAGGTCTCCATATTCCACAGGTCAAAGTTCAACACGGGTGAACTGTGACTGGACTGGGCTTCAGTGGAAGGAAATGAGAGATGGATCCGGGGCTGGCTATTGGTCAAAATATTTGATACCGGTACAGATACCTTCGATACCAGTTCCTGGACTGTGCTTTTTTTGATACCAATTTTATAAAATCCATTTGAGCAAAAAGAATATGCAGTACACATTACAGTAAACGACTCCCTTTAAAGCAGAAAGCTGTTCATCATATCTGACCACACATTGCTTCAATACTTTCAGCCGGTGCCATAAAAGTATCCAGATTCGGTACCCAGCCCTACGTGTGCGTTACCTTGACCCGATTAGTAAAATGTTGTCCTCAGTCTTGTTCTTTGCTCCACAGTATGCCACATCTTCAGCTGCTCAGCGGTGTCGTGGGACCTGTTGACTTTGTTAAGTCCCTTCGGGCATGTTTTTCCAACTCCCACCACATGTCCTTCCACCTCAACTTGTAACCTCCTCCATCTGGTCCGGATGCCATTAAATAAGCAGATCTCTGGTTGTAATGATGACCTGGCATTCGTTCAGCAGCTGGACTGCGTTTGCGAATGTGACGGATTGATTTTATTTGGAGATATTTGTGGTTTAACTCTTGCGGATGAGCCCCCTGTTTGGTCAGTGTTGCGTCCGTCCAACGAGAAAGATATCGCAGTGATTGGAAGAGGAATAAATGACGATATAAAGAACTCATTCCTCATACCCCAGTGAAATCACAAATCTTTGTTCAGAGGCGTGATAGGTCATTTTTAATCAATTGTAAATCATTAATAAAATCTCAAAATTAAAAAAAATACAATTTCTCTGTCAACTTACTGATTCATCGACTAATAATGTCCGCACTGGGGTTACAAGCTGTGACCCTCCGGTTAATGGGTGGTCTCTGTGACTGTAGTGCACACCTGCTTTCCTCCCCTGCCTCTTCTTTTGAGACTGAGAGATGGAGAGAGAGTGGTGTCAGCTGTTTTGGAAGGAGGGACAGAGACGTTAGATAGATACTTTATTTATCCCGAGGGAAATTCAAGTTGACACGGTGAATTTTCCGCTCCTGTTAAAGGCAGCTGTACTTCAACCCAAGGAGAGACACATTGTTGCATGCAAATATGTTCAGTGGCACACAGTGTTGTTTGATAAATGACCTCCGTGACTGTGTAGATGGATACATGGAGTTTCGAGAGTAAACAAGAAACGGTGAGAAAAATTCAAACGGTAACGAAGGCATCAGTGGAATTTATTGAATTTCAAAACCTTTCGTGAAAAAAGAAATCTTCCAGACTACCCCACATCAGTGCAAGCGGTGAGCAGTTCACTAGAATCGTGATCTTCCCCTCTCATACTCTTTCATTTGAACGAAATCAATAGCGACCTGAAGAGGTAAAACTATCAAGTATTTCACATTAATAAAATAAAAAGAAGTAAAACAGTAAATGCAATTTTGTATATTTACCGCCCTGGTTTTATCTGATGAGATAACCAATAGTGGCATCAGCATGTGGTTCTGGGGGTCCTGATCCACAGATCTAAAACACCAGTTATGCTTTCATTTATGAATGAAACATTAGCAACTGCTCAGTTTGTTTTGATTATTGCCAGTAGGCCAAAAACTAGTGTGTTCCAACTTTTAAATGTGACTTTACAATCAGAGCTCCTTTCCATCTGCACACCAAAACATTACAGCTATCCACATCAAATGCAGCGGGGAAAAGAGATTTAAAGAAAACAAAAAGGTGGGATCGCCTTCCTTTAGGAAACACCTTCTTCTTAAGGCCTCCGCACACC